TGCTCAAGGCAGTGTTGCCACAAACCTTCAATCTGTAAAAAATCTAGTATTTGTGAAGTGCAAAAAGCAACTACATAAAATGAGGAATGCCTGCATGTAAATTAAAACAAAAGAAAAAAGGCACAAAACAGACAAATTGAGAAAGATTAAGTTCACTCTGCCGGAATCTTTCGAGAATTCTCCAGGATACAGGTAAAAGAACAGGTATAATTTGAATGGGTGAGTAGGAATGAAAAGATGGAGGTGGAGGTCACTCTTTTCTGAAAGGCTAGGAAACAGGATTTTGCATGAGTGACAAGTCAAATATTCTGGTTAGAGTTAGAGGCATACTGCGAATGACAAGGAATTAAAGTTAAAAATAAAACTGTACTTCTGCAAAGCATAGAAACTATCAACGAAATGAAAGGCAACCTACAGAAAGGGAGAAAGCATTTGCAGATCATGTATCTGATAAAGGTTTAATATCCAAAATATATAAAGAACTCATAAAATACAATAGCAAAAAAAAACAAACAATGCCAATTAAAATATCATTGCAGAAACTGAACAGACATCTTCCCAAAGACATACAAATGGTCAAAAGGTACATGAAAAGATGCTTGGCATCATTAATCATTAGGGAAGTGCAAATCGAAGCCATCAGATATCTCTACACCCGGTTAGAATGGCTGACATCAAGAAAATAAGAGATAAGTGCTGGGAAGGATTTGGAGAAAAGAGAAACCTTGTGCACAGCTGGCAGCAATGTAAATTGGTATAGCCACTGTGGAAAACCATATGGAGATTCCTCAAATAATTAAAAATAGAATTACCATTTGACCCACAAATCTGACTTCTGTATATATATCCAGGTGAGTAGACACCTGCACACCCATGTTTATTGCTACATTATTCCAAATAGCCAAGATGTGGAAGCAACCTAAGTGTCCATGTATGGATAAAGAAGATATGGCATATATATATACACAATGGGATTTCAAACAACCATGAGGAAAAAAAGTAAATCATGCCATTAGCAACAACATGGACGGGACTTGAGGGCATTACTAAGTAAAATAAACCAGACATAAAACGACAAATACTGCATAATATCACTTAGATGTGGAACTTAAAAAGGTCAAACTCAAGATACTCATGAGAGAAATTAAAGAAGACACAAATAAATGGAAATCTATCCCATGCTCATGGATAGGAAGAATTAGCATTATCAAAATGGACATCCTGCCCAAAGCAACTTACAGATTCAATGCAATACCTACCAAAATACCAACAGCATTTTTCACTGAACTAGAGAAAATAATCCTAAGATTCATATGGAACCACAAAAGACCCCAAAGCCAAAGCACAAAGAAAGAACAAAGGCATAACTTCAGCAAAAGGAACGGAAGAAAGGGACAAAGAGCCATTTTGAAGGGATACTGGAAGGATTGGTCACTAACTGGATATGAAAAGAAAAAAGAGAAATCAAAGATGATCTTGACCTTTTCAATCTAGGATAACAAAAGTTGGGTTTTAAATATGCTGATCTCCAGGTATTGAGGAGTCAGTAAGCAACTGTGAGTTCACAGCGCAACGAGAATAAAACACTGGGACTGGAATTGAAAAGCTGGTGTATTAGCTTCTCAGGGCCACTGTGACAAATCGCCATGGCCGAGTAGCTCGAAACAACAGAAGTCTATTCTTGCACGTGTCTGGGGGCCGGGTAACCGAAATCAAGGTGTTAGCAGGGCCACGTCACTGCAAGGGCACTAGGGGAGAATCATCCCTGGTCTCCTCCAGCTTCTGGTGGCCTGTGGCTGTGTAACTGCCCTCCTCTCTCTGCCTCTGTTGTCACATGGCCGCCTTCTTTGTGCCTCTGTGCCTGTGCATGTCCCCCTTGGAAGCACACCGGTCATTAGGTTTGGGCCCAACCTAAGCCTAGGATGATCTCATCTACACATCCTGGACTTGGGTATATCGTTTGGAGGGATGCTATTCAAACCACTACAGTTAGGAACTCAACAGAGAATAGATGTTTTCTTTAAAATAAGGCAGTCTAAGACCATGGCTTCAGATATCTCCAAATTTAGAAAATGCATAAAGCAAGTGGCAGCAAGAAAAAAAAAATCAGAGAAATAAGAAGAGAGTAAGAACCAAGTAACAGGGAAAAATCAAGACCAAGGGGTCACCTGTCACATCAAACATGGCAGAGAGAGTAAGTGATAATATCCTAGAAGGCACGAATTCACGTGCACATACACACACACAACCACAACTTAATCATTAAGAATTTTTGCAATGAATTAAAGAAAAAATGGTTCTTCAGCTCATCTAGGGAAAAACAAATAATTCTGGTTCCTACCAAACAGCACATCAAAGAAATATCCAGATGTCCAAATCAAAAGAATAAATAATTAGAAAAATGTCTAGCTTGCCAAAGGCAACATACTAGAAACAGACTACTTAACATGGGGGCATCAACTGGTCACAGAGCAGCGAAATCAAAATAAATGGCCTTTGGTGAGGTTGCTGGTAGCATGGCCTAGAATTTTAAGAAGCAGATTAGACCACATAGACCCCTTCGGGATCCAAACACTAAGGAAGTTTATAGAAATAGACTGGATGACATCATCTGGAATAAAATTTGAGAACAGGGGCTAAGATTTATTTCTATATAAAGAAGAGACAGACTGGTATCTACTGAAGAGTACAGTAGTAACTCACACTCTAATAATGTTCTGTGGTAATTAGAAGTATAAAACAATCTTGAAAGTGCGACCTTTTAAACGATTTACTATGAAGAAATGTAAGGAGTCACAGCCATAAAACGAAGTCCTTGGGGTCCCTGACTTGGCTCTGCTTACGTCACACAGTTTCAGTCTCTGTTTCTTGCTCAAACCCAGGCAGGCCATGGTCCTCACATTCCTGCATCCTGTCTCACTAAAGTACTTCCACACATATTTTAAGATTCAATCCAAGAATAATTCTTCCATGAAATTTCACCCAACTAACAAGCAGTTACCCCAGAAAACTGTAGTAAATGATTCTATCATTTAAAAAACAACTATGTTCCTGACTTGTGAGATAAGATTTTATACTACAACCTTCCAACAAGAAAGTCTTCATACCAATAAGACAGGTTAATAGATGATTTTCTAAGTAACTACTGAGTTTAAGAACTTTTTTGTTCATTTTTATCTATTCCAGTTGCTATTTACTTTCTCAAGTCATATGAGTTTGTCCATTACAATTAAAAACTATAGTTAAATCCAAAAGACAAGAAATAAGTGTTGGTGAGGATGTGGAGAAAAGGGAACCCTCCTACACTGTTGGTGGGAATGTAAATTGGTGCAGCCACTGTGGAAACGGTATGGATGTTCTTCAAAAAACTAAAAACAGAAATACCGTACAACTCAGTAATTCCACTCCTAGGAATTTATCCAAAGGGAAAGAAAAATCTCTCATTAAAAAAGATATATGCACCCCTATGTTTACTGCCACATTATTTATAATAGCCAAGATATGGAAGCAACCAAAGTGTCCATCAATAGATGAATGAATAAAAAAAATGTGGTACACATATATATATAATGGAAAGAACAAGAAAGAATTCCTGCCATTTACAGCAACATGGATGGACTTAGAAAGTATTATGCTAAGTGAAATAAGCCAGGTGGTGAAAGACAAATACCATATGACTTCCCTTGTAAGTGGAATCTAAAAACAAACAGAAGGAACAAAAAGCAATAGATTCATAAACCATGAGAAGTGGATGGTGGTGACCAGGGGGAAGGAGTTGGTGTGGGTGAGTGAAATAGGTTAAGGAGATAAAGAGGCACAAAATTTCCGTCATAATATAAATTAGTCACAGGGATGAGAGTACAGCATAAAGAATACATAGTCAGTAGTTATGTAATATCTTTCCATGTTGACAGTAACTACACTAGTTAGGGTAAGGATTTAATAATGCATATAACTGTTAAATCACTATGTGGTATATTAAAACTAATATAATCTTGCATATCAACTGTACTTCAAAAAACAAAATTAAAAAAAGGAAAACTATAGCTTTTTTTTTTTAAGTTAGGAAAGCACAGAAATATTTATTAGTTGGTTGAAAAGAGTTAATTTACTTCAGTGTTAAATTCCCACGGGAAAATAAAACCCTGGATAAGCAAATAAATCCAAATTGGATACAAGGAAACTTTTCTGTGTCTTAACTATCTCAAAATAAAATTTACTCTCAAAGTTACTTAAATCATTTGCCTAATTACAAAATATATGGTCTCAATGTTCAATCACACTGACTTAAAACTTCATTTATGGTCTACATGAATAAGGCAAGGAATGTACAAGTTTTAAAGGTATTATAAGTAGTTTGCAAATGCACTTCCACAAAATATACTCCAGAAAAATTTGGGATTAAAGAGAAGCAACAGTAAGAAGGTTTGGGGAAAAGGTATACTCAGAACAGGGCTTTGAACATAAGAGTTTATAAAAATAACTGCAGCATATTCTATATATATATATAGAATACACATTTTTAAACTATAGAGTATCTGTGTTCTAGGCAAACACCAGGATTTCCCCCCGAGAAAATGTGAGTCAGATCAAGAAGATACATCTCGTTAGAAAACCACGAATGCAACACAAAGATTGTATTGCTGTTAATATTTTTTAAAGTGGAGCTCAAAAATAAGTTATTTCCATTCCTAATACATGCATCAAGCAGGCATTCTCTTTGGGCCTTAGTATACCAGGACTTAAAATGTTTATGGATGATTTATTTGCTTGAATATGAAAGTTACTTGAAATTGACATATTTATTCTTTACTGCAAGGCAGAACTGTACATATAGAATCTCTTTCCAGTACCAGTACTAATAACTAGTTATCATCTTATTACACATTAGTAACTGTTAACCACCTTATTAGCAGTCTATTTGGAAGGGACAAGTTAGGTATAAGGAGAAACAGATGGTCCCCTGCCCCACCCTAAAAACAGAAAACAAGATTACACACCTTATCTGCTTCATCCATGCTTGTGGATTTCACCACACAGGAAGCTGGCCTCTCCTGGACGTGAGCAAGGTCCTGGGGGACACTCTGAGACCCTGGCATTGGAGGCAGTGGAGCTCTCCTCTTCTTGGGTGCATCTGATGGCAGGGTGTTTGAAATATACGGTTTGGAAATGGTATTGGACCTCGTAAAGGTTGGGCGATGCTTACTTACGAGTGGGGTTGCAGGGGCACTTGCAGTCTAGTAAAGAATGAAAAGACAAAATCTATTGGTAATTTCATGATGAAAAGAGGGGCTGTATGTTCAAGTCCAAGTTCTCCCTCACTTTATTTGAAAAATTTATCTAATGATAAAGCCTCCTAATTGTGGTCTACTACAAACCATGACCTCTGCTGGGCACCTTCTATCTTAGGTAATTCTCAAAGCAACAAGTAAATTTAGTACTTTGTTCCTACTTCACTTTGTTCCTGACCCCAATCAGGAAATGACAGGTAAGACATAAAACTCAATTCTCTGTGACTCAGACAGAGTCTGTGTTGTATACAAAACTACCAACACTTCAGAAGTGAAAAGGACACTTCAAATTAAATGAGATATTAACTTGCTATCATACAGTTTGTCCCTTTGTTTGAACTATAATTTTGTCTCAGAGCTAAACTATTATGAAACAGTTTATTCCCCAAAGCATGATCCATTATAATTAATTACTTAGTACTATATTAAGTATTTCAAAAACATTATTCCTTTAATCTATTGGTTCTCAACTGGGGGCAATTTTGTGTCACAACCGGGGGTAGGATGGAAGGAATGTGCCCCTGGCATCCACTGGGTAGAGGCCAGTGATACTGTTCAGTGTACAATGCCCAAGGCAGCTCTCCAACAACAGAAATCACTGGCCCCAAATGTCAAGAGTGCCAAAATTAAGAAATCACATTTTAATCAGAATGGCAGTGTCAAACCTCAGGGTTGCATATGTAACGTTTCATTTTCCAAAATGTACCTCCTAATGTCAACTGACAGGTCCTACAAACAATGACAGACCCGGCAGTGCTGAGTAACCCCTCACCCAAATGGTCTCTAAATGCTATTTTCCACTAAAAGGAACCATGATTGCCTGAGAGTCATTGATTCTTTGTTGATAATCAAGAAATATGTAAGATGAGCCTGGTATATATAAGCATATCAGAAAGTAAGTAATCAGTTTATTGAGATCATTTTAAAAGGACTCAGGACATTCAGGTCATCCTAAGCATAACTTAATAAATTGAAACATATTGTATATGTTTAATGCCATACATTCATAGTGATACTAAAAAAATAACTGATTCTCATTGTTCACTTTGTGGAATGCTAAGGAACCAGCCCATTATTTTAAAAACCAATGAAGGGAAAGAACAGCATTTTATCCTGCCTTCTCTGAATGAATTCTATGTAGGTAGGCAAATAGCTAACATGGAGAAACTGGCTTTTTAAGAAATATCTCAACTAATAATTAAAGGAATATTTGCAATAGATTATGATTACTTTCCAATTCCTAATTAACTACAGTACAGTCAATGATTACTGATAACTAACCTCAAAAGAAGATAACTTGTCATTACATGTCTAATGGAATTATACAGTACCACCTATTGTGGTATTGAAGTACTCTTGCCAAAAATATTTCATCCAAATCTGATCAAGGTCTAGATTCAACAGTTTACAGGAAAAAAAGAAGATAAACATGTTAAGTGGCACCACAGAATGCAATCAGCACAACTCTGAACATGGGAAATTTGTTAAGAAAAATGACCTGGTTTATTCAACAAATAAAGGACAAATTAACAAGAGACTGGAGGGCAGAGAGTGCGAGAGACAAGGTGGTATCTGTAAATCTTACAAACACTCCTACTAACAAACACATAGGGGTTTTGTGGTAAATCACAATATAACTTCAGTGACTCTGGGAACAAAGTAATGTATATTGAGATTTGTGGGATATACATAAAGCAGAATTTAAAGATTAATGTATAGTCCTGAATACATTTAACTTTTAAGTATATACTTTTTCTTAGAAGTCAATGCATACCTTTTTATTTGAGAAATGTTTTAAAAATTAATGAATTATGACATAGTAGGGGCTATTCCAAGGAAGTAAATAGGTAACATCAATAAATATATTAATGCAATATGTCTCAGTAACACATAATGGAGGACTATATTTCATGAATTAAAACTTGATAAATCTGATGCTTCCAACATTAAATAAGTAGTATGCACCCTATACAAGGAGTTTGTTGACAATGCCAACAGTAACAATGAACATGTGGACAGAATTTTATGGTTAAAGATATTTTCACATGCTTAATATATTTCTTAGAACAGTGCTGTGATGTAGATTTCAGGTTATCATTCTGGGCCCTTTTTCTAAGCAAGGCATGTAGAGAAATGGAAGCAGGTGGTCCCTCCCTCTTACATATCTGACACCCTGGTGATCAGAGAGTTTGAATAACTTGCACCAAGACACACAGCAGTAAATGGTGTAACTGAATCTAGTATTCATTTAAAGATGATGTATCATACCCCTGACTTTTTCTTTCTTTTTAGCAGTGCTACTATTTCATTTGAAGAAAGAGCCCTCCACTAGTTGAAAATAGATATACAATTAAATTTAGTCAGAACAGTAGATAGATAGAAAATTCACATGGTGATGCAGTGAAATCAATATAACCAGAATATTTCATACAGTTATTCTTGGTAGAGCAACTTCCAGGCCCCCATTCATTCTCCACACTAGTCAGCCCCTAAGTCTTCACGTACAGGAATCACGACAAGTCAGAGTTAAACACAAGACAAGCAAGGGCTTGAGCTTATTAGAAAACAACTCAAATACTGTAGTTTGCGATTTCCAGAAGAGAGGCTGGAAGTAATTGCATACAAAGTTCTAAGCCTTCTGGTAATATCACACAAAACAAGGAGACAGGGACATTCACAGCATTTGGATTGACCCCGTAGATTCTGACATTGTAAAAGGAGCTCTTTCTGAATTTTCCCACTCTGATCTCTTAAGGTTATGTTCACAACAGTTAATATTGTGAATCACCACATACTTTTTTGGCAGGAAGGGATATTAGAAACCAATGAATTCAATACCGTCAGAATGAGGCCAGCAAGATCATGGAGTTGGCTTTGGGTCATATATGTAGAGTGGCAAAGAGGGGAATAAAAGCTCACTGCAGGTAGGAGAGTGCTGTCACTGGGGAGAACCAGAGACCAAAACCATCACTATTACGGAGGCAGAGTAAGAGATCCAGACACATGAAGTATTTGCGCTCTCAGCCCGTCAAGTGAGCTTGACAGCTGATGCAGTGTCAGAACTAAAATGCCTATTCTTCTGATCATTAGCCGATACATATTTTAAGAGCATGAGAATCTTATGACTTCAGCTGATTTCTATCAACTCCCTTGATTAGGCCAGTCTTCATGATAGCCACTGCTAAATAATCACACCCTGACTTACGTGGGCTTAATTCTTGGAATCGAGAGGCTCACTTTGTTATGGGCAAATTGGAAATGACAAAGAGAGAAGATTCCAGTAACACATAATGTGTACAGCTTATTAAGACTTTTTTTAGGAGGGTGGTAATTATTACAGTAATCACTTATCTGAGCGTATCCTTTTTTTTAAAGGGGGAAAAAAGGACTCCTAGACTTTATTATTATTGGCTAATTTTTAATAAAGTTTTCCTCTATGAAAGTCATACATTCCCATTTTATAATTCTGTAATATAAAGAAGGATAAAAAATTTCACCCACAGACCTACCACCCAGAGGTAACCGCTATTAGCATTTTTTATGTATTTCCTTTCAGAAATTTCATGTAAGTTTTTTACATACTATATAAACACATTGAAATGCTTTAAAAGCTAATTTTAGTATAAGTACTTTCCATGTTATTAAAAAAATTCACAAACAATGGCTATAAAAATTCTCTATAATGAATATATTCTGATTATGCTGAATAATTATGCAAGGCAAATAATCTGAGATCTTTCCATTGTGCCACCAAACTATCAGCATGTTTCTCACATTCTTAGGATATTCATTTTTAAACAGTTATTGAAATGTAATTATTAAATTCAGAAATCAAGGAGGGGGGCTTTATAAATCATTTTTCAGAAAATAAAAACCAAGGATTTTTCTAAGTCAAATTTCTTACAGAACATACACATTAGTAATGTTAAGAAAAATAGGTAAAATTAGGAGCTTATTTTCAATTTTCCCAATAGAAATAGAGATTTCATGTTATGATTTGTTTGTACTAATTCATATATCTTACCTTGCAAAGATGATTTACTGAAGGCAGTAACAGAGGTGGCTACAGAAGGAGGGGGTAAAAGAGGGTAAATTGACTATAAAGATGATGTTTGTTCAAGTATAAAACATCACTGAGTTGAAATAGTCATCTATGGATTATATGAATCCACTATCTTGGGATAAAGCTTGAAGTTCTCCAAGCACAGAGGATGTAGGTAATCATCCTTCGCTAAACTTTTAACACTCCTAATAAAATAGATTAGTGTTGAATAAAAAAACTTGTACTTATCTATTAGATATCATAGAAACCAACATTATCTAAGATCTCCAAATTTTAATACATTAACCTATTTCTATAGATTAATACTGCAAGCTATTACTAGTCAGAAAAATTTTGGAATAAGATTCATTTTATAAGCCAGTTGATTTCAAATGAACTTAGTAAAAAATCTGTCAAGACACTTAAAAATTTGAATGATAACTAAGACTTGGATAAAACCATGGCAAGTCAAGAGTAATTCACACTTGACTAGAACAATGAATTTACATGTATATTTTAATTTTCTGTTTAAATCTCAAAACCACAAAGAATAAGCAGAATTCCACCAAAAAATTTCATATATAGATGAATATTGTAAAATGTGATGTCAACTAAGAAAGACAAGTTTTTATTCCGATTCCTGTGACTGAAAACAAGTTAAATTTTATTATTTAGTTTTCTATTCTTATTCCCAATGTAAGTATTGACTTCTCTCTATAGGATCCACTCACTTGCCATTATCAACTTGAGAAAACCTGTACATAAACACAATACATGCACATTTACATATATGCACATCCTGTCAAATGAATGAAACAGTCTTACCTCTGCTGACATCCACGGCATATAATTCTCTTAGTCCCAAGTCATTAAGAGATTTCGTCATATCAAGGGGCTCCTGAGATTGATAATCCTTCAACAACAGTGTATGTGATGGATCAAACTCACATTTGCTGCATATAATGGGGGCAAGTTCTCGGAGCGATGCCTGAGGGCTGACTCTCACTATTGTCTTCTGTGTTTTCTTAAAATTGATCACTACTCTGACAGTTTTCTGAAACAAAAATTAAAAGCCAAATTACACCATAATTTACTGGAACTTTAAACAGTGGTGTCTAGAATAATGAGATAATCTACAACTATATATTCATACAATAAAAATTTTGGTGTAAGATTTTCATTTTGATTAATGTTTCTTTCTAAATCCAAAGCAGATTAGAAAGTTTACTTACTAAATAATCTAGATTAAATTCATAACCCTTGTACAATGACGCATTAAGTAGATTTAAATCCAAAAGGGAACATATCTAGTACATATTAGTCTCATATCTAGTACTACTACTGTTTTTTTTCCTAAAATACTTATTTTTAGATTAGCCAGCATACATAATAATACAAAGTATACATGTTTTATTCTATTTTATTTGAGGGTTATTTATCCACTGGTTTGTCACTTGTCACAATGAAAAAAGATATTTTGTTTTGGTTAAAATATAAAATTTTTGTGCTTCTATCTTTTAGAAATAAGATAAATGAGACAATCCATATAAAGAGCTTAGCATAATTCTTGGTATATAGTAAATTATCAATAAACAAACATTAGCTTTGTGATTATAAATTCTTATCACTATTATTACTACTCTGGCTAATTTTAATAGTGATGAATCTTAAAATATTCCTTATTTAGATAACCAATACTATGAATTCAAAATTATTGAAATTTAAATAAACATCTCATCATTTTAATGCAATTTAATTAAATCTGTACATAAACGGAACTTACACATGTGACCATACTAAATGAAATCTCCAGTTTATAGATCCTCAAAGCTTAATATATATTTACTAAAGCATTTTATGTGATCCCATGTGATGGCATAAATACTATTTCCATCTAATACATCTAGATACATAAAAATAGACCAAATCCTAATTAATAGTAATACTCACATTTTATAGAAAGCAAACATATTTTAATATTGTAAAAAAATTAACTGTTACAAAAAGCTTCATAAAATAGGGGGAAAATGTGAGAATACATGTACTCAAGTCCAATGTAGATAAGCTATTAATTTAACATAGACATTTATACATTTCCTGAAGTTTAAAAAAAGAAGTCGATGTTCCTAATGAAAGAGTATTTCTGGAAACCCATAAACTTCTATGCCTACTGCTTATGAAACAGAACAATTTTATAAATAAAGAATTGCTATTAGAATCACTGTGGTTAAAAACTTTTGTTTAAAATCATGTTACAGAAAACTAAGTTATTGTGTAACTCACATTAACAACAACTTAGAAGTTAATAAGTTACAACAGCTGCTTAGCAAGTAAAGAGAAGCAAACAAATATTTCAATAAATTCTTTTTAAAATTTTTATTCCTTCATTGCAATAAAGATGATATACAATATTATGTTGGTTTCAGATGTATGACATAATTGTATAACTCGATAATTGTATACATTATAGATGCTTGCTATAATAGGTGTAGTTACTCCATTATCATACGAAGATATTACAATATTATTGGTTGAATTCTCTATGTTGTACTTCCATTCCTATGCCTAACTTATTTTGCAACATAATGAATTTTCATTAAAACATTCTAAAGCCTTCCTTTAAATGTAAAATTCTTCTTAAAAAAGTAACCTAAAATACAGATCATTCATAACTGTCAGATTCTGATTCGGTAGTATGGATCACTATAGAGCAACTGAAGTATTCTCCAAGTTCTAGTTAATCCAACGTTAATCAATAACCAAATGAATCTAAAACAAAGTGGCCTAGAAAAACATGATAGCCACGTTCACATTAAATTTAACAGGAAAGTCATTTTTATTTCATTTATAAGGAGCTGCAGATAATGACTAAAAAATCAGTTTAGTATTTTAGCCATAAAACATGAAAATCTACAGTGAAATTCTTACCTCCGGTATTACAGGAGTGGGTTTTTTCTTATCCAAAGTTTTTGGCTTTAAAATTACTTTATCCACCTCCAACATTCCTATTGGTGTGTTTGGCTTAAATTTAATGGGGTTCTTTTCAGCTGACAGAAGATCAATTGTGTAACTTGATGGGTTTAAGTGATACTGGGCACAGAGGAATACCAACAAGTCCATCGTAGGTTTACTGTAAGACAAAAGTCAGGCTGATCATAAAGGTCCATAAAGCAACCGCATTAACTGTGTGAGCTATTGTTCTGAGCATTCTCCTTAGGACTCTCTTGTCTTCAGTAAATAAACAAGACTGCAAGATAATACTTTTGAAGCAGGTTAAAATTTAACTACAAGATATTTAAGCAGACAAATTATAATACAGTCCTGAGTGTATTCAAGACAGCTTGGATCCTAGTGTTGGCTTAACAATTACCTATATTTTATCTGCTAAATTGTCTTCATATTATATATTTTAGGAGAAGGTAAATATATTAAGAAATAAATTAAATATTTTAGGAGAAGGTAAAGTCCCTTCCTTAACCCAGGAGTAATAGCTTAGTTCAGCATATGCTCCTCACAATATTATTTTGAATCCTAGCAGTCTTCAGCTTATGAATTGGCTGAACTGCAAAGTTCTCATAAGAATAAAGCATTAAGAACAATGCACCATCCTTTGGGCTCTAGAGAGCACAGTATCTCTGTGAGGAAGCCCACGAAAGCCTAAAGAAGAGTGTAGTACACATCTCTTCATTCATTCAAACGATATTTAGTATTTTCTAGGCACTGGATACACAGTACAAGTGATGTGGTATACCTGCTTTCACAGATCTCACTCTCTGCTAGATGGACTACACTAGAAAGCTACCATCTGCAAGTCAAAGCAGGCCTACAGCGTGCTTTTGTAAATAAAGTTTTATTGGAACACAATCACGCTCATTTGTTAACATAATATCTAGGGCTGCTTTTTGTGTTACAATGGCAGATTTGAGTACATGTGACTGAAACTGTACAGTCCTCAAAGCCCAACATATTTACTATGTGGTCAGAAAAATTTTACGGGTTCTCGGACTGAGCAACAAAAAAGGTAACCAAGTAAATACATAGGATAATTTCAAATAGTGATTAGATGTTAAATACTAATTGTAATACAGAACATATTTCTATAGGCAATTGCATACCCAATTTGAGATTCAGAAAATTCCCAATGTTTTGCTTTGCTTTCCACAGACTCCAGTTGTTGACACAGACTTGTGTTTTCATTGACATCATCAACAGAACAATGTGATCTCTGAGTCTTTCTTAATGGTCAGCCCATAAGGAAAGCACACTTTTGTGTTACGTGCTTTCCTCAAAGGTCTGGCGATCTTAAGCTATTAGCTAGCATTTAAGACTGAGGCACTAGAACTGTGTAAAAGTCCTATTTTCATGCATTGGGTCTAGATTGGCTTCACTTGAGGGTAATTAGGTGGCCAGCATTTTTCTTCCAATGGGAAATATAAATGTCAGTAAAAAACAATTATCCAGTTTCCTGACAAGAGAGTCTTATGGAGTTCAATGTAATTGGTGCCATGCAATAGATTTTCAGTAGTGCATTTTCAAAATCTACTAACCTATTATGTAATGAATTTACCACACATTTATCATCGTTTGACACTTCCCAACAAATATGATATGAGATTCTGAAACTCTTCTGAGGTCCATACTGCTGTGGTACTATTTTTCGTCTTCTTTTTAACAAAATTGACCCACACAGACCCAGTATTGTCATTGTTTATTGTCTACTTTTTTCCAAAAGGTGGCACTATAGTCCATGTAAATGGCTCCCGAGCTAAATATCTGACCCACCCAGGACCAGTCAAAACTGGGGCTTACTCTCACAAGCTGGTGCTACTGGACAGGCAAATCAGGCCACAGAGCACATCATATCTCTGGGTCATTTCATAGACAAAGGCCAAAGAGTTGAGGTGACTTGCTGAGATGACACAGCAAGTTACAGAATCCATTACAGGGCCTCTGGGATTTCTAACTTCAAGTTCTGAGCTAGCTTTATATGTGTTTTCAATAATGGCATGCTTAAGGTTTGCTCAAATCAAAACAAACTCCTGGTAGAGGCATAAAAAAGAGAAATATCTCCCTCCATTTTAAATAGTGTTAATTCCATTCCTCCCTGTTGTGGGAGAGAGCTTATTTAGTATAAGCACAGAGGGTTCTCCCTATAGGCTAACAAAGAGGACTAATGTTAAATCTTTTATCAAATACCTCAAATTAAAACTGCTTTTAAACTGTCTCAAAGAAAAGAGGGAAAAGGAAGGAGCACATTCAATGAGGAACAATTATGTACTGGGCAGACATCTGACTAATAAGGTAAGAACCTAGAATGCTGCACAAACATATCCCCATCTTTCCTCAATCTTTGTAGTATCTAACTACCTAGCCTGTAAGCTCACATTCATTAAAATTTAACTTTTCCCAAGTACTGGTAGATACTACCACTTATGCTATTGCTTAGTGTGGCATTTTCTGAGGACAGCCCCTGGGCAGCTGGCCCCTAACGCCATTATCCTGTAATGTTTCCCTGTACTTTAGACACCATGAGTAAAAAATACTTTTAGTAAGTCCTCTGTCTGGTGAAAAAGGTCATTTCCTCTACGAGCACACACATGCACAAAGAGAGAGATACACGTATATGTGTATACATATGCATACACACTTACACACCTATACTGCAGTATACCGTATGTCACACATACAAATAAAATACTTTAATTCCTCCTTCCTTTATCCAGTCATCCATGACCTCAGGATATACAGAAATACCTAAGAGTTTTCGGGCTGGCAATGCTGCTAACTGCAGTACGAACCCCAGTGTAAGCAAAGGATCTCAAGGCAAGATGGCTAACAAAGAGAGACTACCCACCTAATTCAGGATAACAAGTTTCTAGTTTCCCCCTGAGCATACAGTCTATTACCACCTCCAACCTTATTGTGTTCCCTAATCTGAATAAGCTCTTTGGTGAAAAATCAATGTACAAACCAGGGCATTCTTCTGAAGATAATGCTTGCGGTCACATTCTCACAAAGGGAACATTCTGAGCATATCTCTGTATGAGTTGTAGAAGAAGACAGAGAGGAACTTTCTAAAATTCTTCCCCAAGGATACATTTTAAGAAAAAGTATATCCAAACGGTAAAATGAAAGACATAATAAGCTTTCTAAATATTTATTTCAGTCTAATATTGATACTATTCTTCAAAGGAAATGCATGTAAATAATACTATCAAAATAAATATAATATATAAAGAATACTTAGACAACCTTAGGAAGGATGGTCTCAAAAAACTGGAAACTCTTTATAGTGACATACGAAACTCTGATTTAGCTAAGAAGATTATTTGAAATTACTCTTCCCTAGTCCATTACCAAAATTCTGTATCATTCTGTTGAAACCTCTCCTAGTCCATTTACAGCAACAAAGCCATGAAGAATGTAAGTTACCTATGTCACAGATCTTCACATTAGGTAGCTAACACTTCTCAAAAACCAAATATATTTTTCTATTTAAACATTTTGTGTTATTAAATGTTTTTTAAACAATGGGCTAACTATAGCTATAACATTCAAGACACCCCAAATCATAATCTTAAGACACTGCAAATCACTCTAAAATATCTCAGATAATTCTAAAGATAATCAGAATCACACAACCACTTTTAATCAAACTTAACATAAAACTACTAGTCATAGTGTCTACAACTTGAGTCATTTCTGAATGATAAAACTATTAGGAACAAAGTCCCTAAAATCAAGCCCCCTAATAAAAACACTGATATGAAACAAAGTCTCCTCTCAGAAAATTTTTCAGCCCTACCCTAAATAAAATTTACAAAAAAGTCAGAATTTGGGGCATTTCCATTCTGGCATTCTTACCTTGCTCTCTATCCTGGAGAAAACAATCTTTATTTAAGAGATCCTGGGAAAGCTATTAGGGGCCATCCAAAAGCCGCTTCAAAGCACACCATTGAAGTTGCTAAATACCCATCAATAGTATTAAGTGTCAGAAGAGTTTGGAAGTCAGAGGAGTTCATTCTGAGGAGACCAGGGAGACTTTATATATAAAAAAAAAATGTCATTTGAGCTACTTAAACTAACTGGAGAAAATGAGGATGGTTCAGGTATTCCAGATGGAAAAACTTTCATAAAGATGTGGAGGTGGAAAAGTAGAGCATCTATAGAACAAAGAGTCATGTGGCTGAGGCTTAAGATGGTCAAAGGGGAGCAGGGAAGGAAAAACCTACTTAATGTGGGGGAAGAAGAAAATAAGGCATCCCAACCTCCAGACCTGGTAGTTTGAATTTCCTTCAGTCGGTATTGCAGTGTTGTCCTTCTAGTCTTTTATCAAAGGTAATGCCACAGAGGAGTGTTTTAGTCAGATTAGTCGGGGGTGGATTGGGGCGGGGACAAGTGGAGAGAATCCAGGGTTAAGGAAAGCAGTTTTCTATGGAAAACAGAAGAAGCCAATAGGTGCCAGGCACTGATAGTATTTCACTTAATCCCAACAATTCAGTTATAAAACATTTTTATAGATAAGAAAACTGAGGCAACTCAACAACAGTTGGCAGCCCAGAAACAAAAAGCTGACTGATGGAAAATAACTCAGGTTTAGGGACCTGGCAGGCAAACATACTGAGAGGTCAAAAGGGCAAGGAAAATCTAGGATCCTTTTACATACACATGTACCAGAAATGACTGATGTAAAACCTGAGTTATGTATGAAGGAAAACACAGCAATCTGAAGAGCAGGCCTAAATTAGACTTGAGGAGGATAAAGAGCATGCCTAATTAGAAAGAGAAAATGGAAAAGCTAGATGTCAAAAAGGTTGTGTCAAATAGGAAACCCTAAGGTCTCAGTAATGGACGAGCTCCAAAATGATGAGATAGCAGCGTCCTGGTGGACCAGGGAAGTAGACGGTGGATGCAGTTTTCCACAGTTAAGGAAACAGAAGAAAAGTTAGGTCAGGGTAGCATGTGGAAATGTCTAAAAGAATTATGATGAGTGACAGGATAGAGAGGAAAACCTTGATTCTAACACTCAAGTTCTTCAGGTAAAAACAAAATCTGAAGAACCCAGAAGGCTGACAGAGAAGACAGCAATATAAACAGATGACTGGTACATCCAAGAAGAAATTTTGAGATGTACTAATGATGAAACCATTGTTACCTGCCAGCATCAATGCAGAACTAGGAAAAATACTGACTTTTGGAAAAATTGCTTTGAATGCAGGGAAAATATGAGGCATTGCCTATATTACCTTAGCCACATCCATTATCATAATTTTTAAAACAAGAGTAATAGTATTATCTCAAGGGCTGAAGAGTATGATGGCCATTGTCTCTAACTTACAAGAGGCCCTCCTTGCCCAGAGGAGGCACAGCTCAGGTGACCATCTGTCTGGGTTAGAAGCCCACCGCAGACAGTCACGGGTTTCTCAACCCCCTAAATATGGCTTATGGTGTGATCTCCAAAACTACTTTCCATATAAAATAAGTGGCAAAATGCCACTTACTTAAATTGAATGAGAATTTAATATACAACACTATGCATTTTTTGCTAATGCTGAACTTTTCTGTTTTCCTGTACCCTCGATAATTTGTAAAGTTACATATAATCTTTCTGATAAATCTCAAGATTATCTTGAACAAGTTTTCTTCTAGATAAAACCACATTGTAAGAATGTAATACATTTTTACCATGTATATAATAAATGTAATGTGCTGTTTACTTATTCTTCTGTTAAACATACATACACACACACACACAAAGGTCAAAACAGCTTAAATTTCTGAAACAGGATACCTGATAACAAAAGGTAGGTGAAGGTGAAAGGTGGGACAAGACTACATACGTATACAACTCCTGTAACTTTCCACTCCAAAATGAAATGGAAAATTACACTTGGCTTTATTCCATTTTTCCAATTTTTATGCAGGTATTAGAAGTATCAGTCTCCTAAATCACATCTTCCCTTCTGCTGGGTTAAAGCTTAACTTTATATTCCTATTAAACTTTAATTTTTAGTAAATTAAAAACTTCAATGGGGTAAAAAAAAAAAAACCCTGTTAGTTTTACAAAAAGATTTATCTGTTTTGATAAATAAGACAGTATTATATTTTAAGAGCAGTTAGTAACTTCTGCCAAATCAAATTCAGAGAAACAGCTTAAAAGGGAAAGAACAATTTAGGGAGAAGGGGAAAGGGCTTTCTTAGGGCCACTGACTTGCTTTGTAAGTCTGACTTACAAATCAATGTAACTGATGACCATTCCGTAACACCATAGTTCTAAATTTCAAGAATCACTTGACTGGGGTTGTGGGATTCATAGTATTGATATTAAAACATTGTTAGAAAAACTTTAATGCCTTTTACCATTTTTTAAATAGATAGCTAAACTGAGGGGTAAGTGAAGTGTTTTGTCAAAGAAAAAAAAAAAAGGTATACAACTGAAGGTTTCGATGGCAGAAGAAGAAATGGCATTTCATTCACTCCGACGTACCTGCCATGAATAGTAGTAGATTTGATAACGTCCCCCGGAAGAACCACTGAGAGTTCAATGTCTCTGTCTATCATGCTTTCTTTCTGTTCCATGATGAAAGCAGAGGATTCTACAGAATCATCAACTGGAGAACCATCAAGGTTTTTGGTCTCAGCTGGAGGAAGTGGTGCCTTGGCTTTTGGTTTTCTCCTAAAATAAAAATAAAGCACAGAAAATAAAATTTATGTATTTTTAAATTTACTTTCAAATATGATGTAATTTAATAAAAACAAAACATATATATATACACATTTTTTACATCTAGGGAAAAATAATGTACCAAAATGTTAACCATTAGTTTACTAGGGATGCTAGAATTAAGGAGGATTTTTTACTTGCCTTTCTTAATCAGCATTTTGTTGTTTTCAATACTATGCCTACATTACTTGGAAATAAAAAGAAACATGATAACAAAGATATCTGATAATTACCTGCATCAAGCTGAGTTAATGTGTGTTCACTATAGCAAAGTAAAGTGTATGATTTTCTTGGATGGGCTAAAAATTCTTCCTGTCTCAGGATGAAGATCGGTATCTCATTTCCTCACCTCATAATACCTCTTACCTTTCTGTCATTCTTTTTGTTTCTAATCTAGTGTGTTTTGCTTCTCTATCCAGATTAACCTTACCTAACCGTAAAAGTCTAGCTGAAACCACCCTCTCCTTCCCTTCCACTCTCCCAACCCCCTCCACCTACACAGTCTCTCCCTACAGAGCATATACAACAGATTCCATAAATGTGACTTTTTTCCTGCTTACCATTTTCATCTCTCTGCCTACATTTGTAACTCCCTGCAAGAACGCAGCATGTTGTATTTCCCACTGCACTTAGCAATCAACAATGAATCGTGACTAATTTGATATCTTATATTTCTGCTTGAAAAATGCCACGAATAACTCATAGACACCAAAAAGGGACTAGCGGTTACCATACAAGAGGTGTTGGGGAGGGTGGGGCGGGAGGGAGAAGAGGATTAAAGGGCACAATAATTTGCAGGCACAATATAGGTTGGCCAGGGGGACGGAAGTACAGCACGGAGAATACAGTTAATGGTTCTGTAGCATCTTACTACGTTGATGGACAGTGACCGCACTGAGGGGGTGAGGACTTGATAACATGCGTGAATGTTTAACCACTGTGTCGTGTATTTGAAACCAACATAAGATTGTATACAGTGATACTTTAATTTAAAAAATGCTACAAATATTGATTCTAAGAAACATGTTTATAGTCACCAGGACAACCTCGTAACTGATCTGTAACAGAAATAGGTAGTAAACATCCTGAAAAAAAATCACGAGCCAGTTCAAAGATTTGATGGATTAAAAAAATGAAATGTGAAAATAAAGTAACTACAAATAATGAAATAGCCTTTTTTTTGTACAGTACTTCAAATTAGAGCTTTTGAAAATATTACCTACCTTTATGAAAGGCTAATTGTTTTTGGAACAATGAATACTACTGCTTTCAATTCAGAAAAATATAAATTTTAATTCCTCCATTTCCCCATTTCCTAGGCAAAAAAAAACAAGATGGAAGGACTTCTTTGTAGGTAAATAAATAACACGCAGCCATTCAGCATTGTCAAAATTCACAGTCTTCCAAAGCCAAGCGCCTTTAAGCCCTCATGAAAAGACAGCAGCAAGGTTCCCACACTGGGCATTAATTTTCTAAAATAGGCCTTACGTTTTAGAAGTATAACTACAGAGATATATTGTACTTTAGATAATACTTATTTTGCAATAATGACAAAGTGAATTTTTAAAGTGTTACAAAAAATATAACACATTTATAAAATGTATATGAAGAAAAACTTTATCCGATTTCAAAACACTTCTCAACTATAGAAATGGAAAGTTATGTACTCAGCACACATGTATCCTGTAACAGGCGATTATGTAGCAGGTTCAGCAAAACAATGGGGATGTAAAGATGAGAGGAGACACAGTCCCTACCCTAAAAGGGTTCCCACCCCAAAAGAAATGACTGACAGATATATACAAAGTCACAAAGAAGTTTGATGATTGCTTTCAAATCAAAATTGTGTAGATGGTACAGCTGAAGCTCATAGGAAGAAAAACCTTCCTAGGAATCCAGAAATAGTGTACAGATGGGAAATTTGGATTTGGGGAAATGAATAAAAACTCACAGGAAAAGACAAGAAATAATTGGTATTCCAGGCAGAGGAAAGGAAATGGAGCCACAAAGGAAATTGGTACTTCTTAGACTTGACCAGTTTGGTAAAAGTCAAAGAAGATGAGACATCAGTGAATCAATTTTAAGAAACTTTGGTGAATAAGAGAATTCAGTAACGCATCTTGGTATAAATTTAACATGCTAAAGTCAATCACCTATATGAGTGTAAGCAAAATGATCAGAAAGTACAATGAAAGAAAAAAGGTTTTTACAGCAGCAACAAAAACAAATCTTAAAATTTGTTATATAATAAATATAACAAGAACTTTGCAAAATCTATATGAAAAAAAATCTTAAATGCCAGCTTGGCTGTCTCTTGGACTCCAGATTTATAAACCCAATTCCTGCTTGGCATTGGAATTAGATGACTAACTGGGATCTCCAACTTCTGATCCCTCTCCCCATCTACTCCAATCCAAAGTATTTCCTTTCCAACTTCTCCCATCCCAGTAAATCACAATTCTTTCAGTTGCTTGGGCCAAAAATCCCTTCTCCCATAGCACATAGTCACAATCCAGTCCATGGGTATATTCTGCCAGCTCATGTAGTTGACCCCAAACTGACCCACGACCCTGCCCACCAAACACCTCAGTTCAAGCTGCTGAATGGTCGCCCTGCTCCTGTTTTCAGGTTACGTTCTATTGTCAACACAACAGCTGGAGCAATCTTTGTAAAATGTAAACAGGATCGCCACACTTCGTCTCATAGCCTCCAATGACTTCTCACAACACCCAGAATCAGATCTAGAGTCCTTCCCTCCCTCCCACCTTCTCCCTAGGCTCACTGCACTCCAAGCCTACGAGTCATGCCTTCTCCTTGAACACACCTAGAACAACCTTGACTCAGGACCCTATCCAGGGTCTGCTCCTGGTTTAGGACAGCATCTCTATTTCTTTGCTTGACTTCTTGCTTTAAGGCTTATCAGCACCTAACATTCTTGTTTATCATTTCTCCTTCCTTTAAAGAGTGATTAATCCCACGAGAATAGGGACTTGTTTCCACTGCCACGTGTCACACATGTATGGATATGCATAGAATCTCTGGAATAATGACCGCCACACAGTAGAACCAATGAATTTGATGAATACTTCCCACAAAAGATGAGGAGCCTATGTGTACAGACTAGGGAGGGGAAAAAAAATTCCTACCACCGAGCAAGAAAATTAATGTCTATATGAGGATTAGCTGCATTGGATTTTTAGAAATTAACTGATATTTCACTTTTAAGAGGATAAGAATTGAAAACTACACACTGGATTTATTAGCAAGGGATAATTGGGACCCTGACGGCTTTAAAAGGGTTTCACCCAGAAGGCCAGAAGAGAAGCCCACCCGCCACAGGCAGGAGCAGCGGTGTCCCCGACAGACTTGGCTTTCAAGAGGAGGGTCTTGGCAGAGACCGCCATCATCTTCGCATCCCACGCCTTCATCACGCCAGGTCTCTGCTCTCCACCTGAGTGCCCTCCCCACCCCCTCTGCCTTCACACATGTTATCTATCCTTCAAGGTCCAGATGGAATCCCACTTCCCTGGGGTGTCTTCTCTCTGCACTGCACACTGCAATGATCTATAACAGCTGCCATGCTCTGTGCATGTGACTGTCTTATTTCCTAAGGTAGGTTGAGTCTATGATCAAAACCTATCTTAAATTACTAAAGATAAACCTACTTAAAAAAAAAGGAAAGCAGAACAAAGCATGAGTTGAAATATTTATACAGAACTTGTATTAAGAACATCTATTAAGAATATCCCGATTATTACTTCAAATCATGGATTTGTCACCTTTGCTCCTGAAAATTGGACAGCATACTGGCAGTTGGACCAAGATCCTTCCACAATGAACTCAAAATCCAATACGGAAGATAGAATGTATGGGCAATTAAATAACAAGTACAAAGCAAAAAAGAAGTGTCGTAAAATATATGAGTAACCTGGAAAATTCACAGCCCTGAGAGCGAGCTGGAACCAGCTCTGTGGGGGCAGGAAGGCAGGTTCCGAGGTGCACTTCAAAGAGAAGATATACATGACTCAGTTCTTGAAAGAAAAGTAGAATTTAGGCAGGCAGAGACCGCAGGATCATTTATAATGTTAGTGTCCAATTGTGATCCACTTCACATTAAATTTGGGATGTGTCTATATAATTAAAGTTTGCTGACTACAATAGTATAATCCAGTGAAAAGAATACCAGGTAGAAAGAAGCCTGGATTTGGTCTGAATCATAAGCAGCTTTAAGACTTTAATATATTTAGACTTATACTCACTAGCAAAATTTTTACCAACTCTCATCTCTCCCAATGTTCTTAATTTTCTGATTGAGATGTGTTTGTTGAAGCAAAACAAAATTAAATTACATGTCACCCAAGCTAAAGGCATAGTGAAAATAACCAAGTTTATAACCTAATCTAAGCCTAGGAAATTCTGGTAACGCAAAAAAGTAAACAAAAAAGTAACATATCATTATGTAATAAGAATTATAATTTACTGCTGAGAATAACAGTTTCATTAATATTTCAAAGTCACAGTAAGTGCCACTTAAGTTCCCCATCCTTTTTAAATAGGATGTTTGAATCAGTTTTTCCTACCCAGGGAAATGTTAGCTTTCCTTCTACAGTGGCCTAGTTTGGCTCAGTGTCTACTCCTTAGAGGCTGCTACCCTGAACAGTAAACAATAGCAAATTTCACACAAGGTTGGTGGAGAAAGAGGTTATACTGAAAAGGTATTTGAGACAGAAAACTTCTTTAGAGCATGGCAAAAAGTCATTAATCAACCCTTAAAAATAATAATCTGTAATTTCACAAATAACATGGTGAATTGAGTAGTTATATTTATATATCTCACACTGCAATGAATTTACAGATGAACATTTATTTCTGTTTGAAGCACATTTCTTTTTTCCCCCAGTTGAGATATAATTGGTATACATAAAACTAGATGTAATTAATGCATACAATTT